AAAATAGAAATTTTAATGAAGGGTCATTAAATTTTAATTTTTAAAAAATTTTTAGATTGGGAAGAAAATCTTAATTGCAAAACCGATAAAAAAAAATCAGATCAATCTAGTACAACAGTATTTTAAGATCTCAAAAAGAGATAAACAACATCATAGAGGGGAGAAAAAGTCCCCACAAGGGAGGAAAGCAAACCTTCACATAAGAAAGATTATTACATCAATAAATTAAAAACTAAAAATCAAACAGAAAAAAACTAGATCTAAGTCGCCACTGACCTAATCTAAAACTCTATTGCTTCACAAACTTCAACTTATAATCTGAAGACCCCACATCCGTTGGTAAAAGATAGAACACGGAGGTTCAAGTGGTCGTTTAGCGTAAAATAAAATGTGTTATCCAGCATCGGCTTTCAAACTGTGAGAAGATCTGAAATCAATTCTTAAAATTTTGGACTTGAAAATAGAGAAAGTAGAGTGGTAATGACCAAAGAGAATAGAAAAAAAAGGAGAGGAGAAGGGTATTGGAGAAATGAGAGAATTACTACCGTCTCCCTCCCCTTGAAGAAAAATCTAAAGAGAAAAAAATGAAGAGTGATTAATTTATTTGACCAAAATGAGTGATTCTCTTTAAAGCAAAAATCAGTAGATAATATAGCATTAAATCAAATATATCGTAATCCACAAGTAACCTTGTACCTGTTTGGTCCACATTTGGACACCAATCCTTAATTAAAAATGGAGAAGATGAAAACCACTTAGTTTTTTTTTTTTTTTTTTTTTTTTTTTTTTTTTTTATAAAAGATTTGATGTTTAATTTTATAAAATTGTAAGAAGGTTAATTAATACATATAGATTGATAATGCCAAAGTAAATAATGCATAGATATAAGAAATATGCATTTTTTTTTTTTATAACTCAAAGTGTCCGGGCCAGCTTGTGCGCACCTCGATTAATCCCTAGGGAACAATCCCGCCGTCCACTAGCGGGGGTCCATTTAAAACCAGAGTAGAGCTCCGTATGGACTGACCCAACACAAGAGTTGAACTACATGTGTATGTTAAGAGATTGTTTGGCATACACTATTTTAGTCCATATTTTTATCTTTTTATCTTTTTATCTTTTTTGCGTTACATCAATCAACATATTCTCTCTACTTTTTTATACATCTTTTTATAAAAAGTCAAAAAGTACACTTATTTAGAACATCCTAAATCACTCCTAAGTAACTATTATAATGTTTAATGTTATTGCATAATGTTGTTACAATGAAGAAAATTCACATAGTAGAAGTGTTAAAATGGAGATTTTACCTTTTTAAAATTCTGACAGTATTGTCTTGCTCAATGAGCTCTCTTTGTCCGTCAACCCTCCCAATTTATGTAGAAAAATTAAATAAGTATTTTTTAGTTTAAAATTATATATAAAATGACGTCAAAATAAAAAATCACCTAGCTAGCATTCTCACATTTGACAAATCACACTCTAGGATGTTTGGTACAACTGATAAAACAGATTATAGATTATAATTTAATGAATTATAGATTATAACTTTAGTTAGAAATTGTTAATCTATTTGATACAATTGCTAAATTATATATTTAAGTTGCTGAGTAGTGTTTAGTAAATAAATTTTGAAATAACTTTTTAATGTTTAAATATCATTTTTACTCCAATTAATTGTAAATTGAAGTAACCTTTGTTAGTTGTAAATTTAGCTCCTCGTGCACATTTCCCACTAAAAAAAAATAAAATACATAGTCTATTTAGATCTTTTTATATATTTTTTTTTTAAAAAATAAGGGTATAATATATCCATAGCAAAAACTGATAATCAGAAATATGAGATGATCAACTTCTCATAATCAATTTTTTTGAAAGTTGAGAAAAAAATATGAAGGTTTGGGTTAACTTTTTGACTTTTTATAGAAAAATGTGTATTAAAAAATTGTATAAAAAAAATGTGTAAGAGATGATTAGAGAGAGGTGGGCCCCAGCCGTACAACCCGCCGGAGTGAATTGGGGTTGGAAATTATTGGCTAATTTTTGTACAAAGCACTGAACGGTTTTGTTTGGCCCGTGGGGGTCATCACGGGTCCCATTTTAATAATCTGAACCGTTCAATGTGTGTAACTCGTCGAATACTATGTACCTATAAAAAAAACCACGTTAATCGGATATCGATAGCTATCTGATCAGATTTATTTATTTTTCAATCATTAATTATAACACCATCCATTTGTTGTACATAACTGATTTGATCATATAGTTATCGATATCCGATCAATTTGATTTTTTGCAGACATATAGTACTTGACGATTTCTACATATTGAACGGTTCAGATTATCAAAACGGGACCCGTGATGACCTCCATGGGACGAACAACGGTGTGTGTAAAAACCACACCCAATCATTTCTTTTTCCTCCACTGCCGCACACATCAATTCGCTGGATAGTGATTTCGAAGAAAATTGATTTTTTAATTTTTTTTTGGTGAATAGTGATATATTTTTGAATTTTGGAGTAACTTTTTAACTTTTTGACTTATATAGGATAAGCCAAACCAGCCCTTAAAATAAACTATTAGAATCAAAAGTTATTTAAAATAAATTTCACCAAATAGTACAAAATAATTTTTTTAAAACTAAAACCTATAAATTGGCCAAAATAATCTATACCAAACAACCCTATATAACCCATAGCTATGTACAAGTTCTTATCATTGCGCGAAGTAAGACTCCCTTTTATGAACTTTGAAGCAATAGGTTCAAAATTAGGGTATCTTCAACGTTTATTCTCTTTTTTTTTTTTTTCTCATTAAATTTGAATAAAAATTTCATCTGATATCGCACATTTCAATAAAATAATCTAAAATTTTATCAAACCACCAATCGACTGGAAAGACAATAGGGGGATGTCCAGTCGGTCAACCGACTAGTGTAATTTTTTCATATTTTAAAACAAATTTTCCCTCAATTTTGCAAGGGGGTGGTCGTCGGGGGACAGCCGGCCGGACATTCGGTGCTCATTTATTGTCCATCAGCCACCTGTAAACTAACGGCTATGTACAGTAATTTGGTAAAAAGTTCCAGTATCTTCAATTTGATGAAAAATTTGAGATATCTTTAATTTGATACTAATTTGATGATAACGTAGGAGCACCAATTTTATACGTTTTTTTATTAAATTTAAATTTGATAAAATAAAAAATGAAGCGTTAAATATGCTCTTATATAATTGTCTCTTATTTGTACAATATTACTCCATGTAATAATTGAATTTGACCTTCCTATCAAAGGTTAATACTAACTAATGAGCAAATAATATGAAAGATATATTTTTATAACTAAAAAACTCTCTCGAATTTTTCAATCATGCATAAGAAAATAAAATTTATCCCATAATAAAAACTACATGATTTATCAAATTTATCTGTAAAAAATAAATAATTATTTTCAAATGCATACTTGTTACCTATTTTTTTGCATACCATTGAAATGAATTAATGTCAAATCAATATAATAAATAAATTAATCAGATAAAAAAGTGAGATCTATAACAAAATTCACAGAGTTGGACAGGGTAATCCAATAAATTGAAAAAATCTCTTCTCATTTTCAGAAGACTCAAATTGTCTTGAATACAATAAAGTGGATTGAATTGTTAGTCAAGCTTTATAACCCTACCACAAGAAATGTCTCAATGATCTATGTAAAAGAAATAAAAATAAAAGGATATATTACACTTATCTTTCTTAAGATTTTTAAAAAATATATATTAAATAATTTTATAATTTTAACATAATTACACCGATCTTACTTACACAACGTTAATATAACTGAAACTGATGCAAACAGTGTGAAGATAAAATAAATAAATAAATAAATAAATATATATATTTTATTATAAAAGAGACAACAATATAAATTTTTTATTCATATAATTAATGAAAAGAGAACTATATATTATATAAATTAAAATTATAAAAAAATTAAATATAATTACATCAAAATTATAAAATTTATTATATATATTTTTTAAATCTCAAACATAATTTACCCAAAATAAAAATTGACATTCAATCTTTATTTTTATTTTTCTCACTTTTATATGGCCACAAGGAACACAAGCAGCACATCAAAATGCCTTTATTTCAATTTTTCGTCGGATGATGACTTTCACCTAATCTGCTACGTGGCAACTTAAGGACTGCTCAAAGTCTCCCGTTACAGTCTACATAACTCACACGCAAGACCCAAAAGAAATTATTTGATAGTTTTTAAGCAAGATAAATAAATATAAAAAGAAATAATATTATAATATATATGTTGTATGAATAATAAGAGTCTTTTTATAAAACTCAAATCTTTGGTTTAAATCTTACTTATACCTTTGAATAATATTTTTTTATTTTAAAATATGTAAATTTGTCACATGACAAAAGTTTAAACCACAAAACTATTAGACATTAAATCATATGCTCACATATATAATAATAGGATAGACGCTTTCAACCATTAATTGTGCGACACTTGTTTAATTATTTCTTAAAGTCTAACATAAACTCCACAGTTTAATAAATAAAAAATAATGTTACATTCATTGAATTTAATCTCTCTCAAATCAGTTGAATTTGTACATGTCAATTATTTGGCTGATCATTCAACCGGTCATTCCAGAGATTGTGTGGCCAGTTCTTTGACATATGCTACTTGATATGCCAATTGACAAAGGCGACTACCACAGTTAATAAGGGTGACGCTAATCATTTGACCGATCGTCTAACTTACATAATTCGAACGATTCAAATAAATTTAAGTTTGATGTATCAATATTTTTTCAGCAATAAAATACAAATTAAAACACCACATAAGTTTGCCCCAACACCACCATATGATTCCCACAAGGTCCCACTAATCATAATATTCCAAAAATCCAAAAGAAATATACCCTTCACTGCTACGTTATATAAACCCCACAATATCATATACGGTACAAAAATATATCATATGTAAACTCCACAAAAAAATATATCGTATGTAAACTCCACAAAGCTTTAACTACCTAGAAGACAACTTTACCCTTCTCCCCGATCGCCGCCCCATCACGGTGCCGAGTCGTCGGAAAACATGATTCCGCGGCGGCGAATCGCTCTCTCCGCCGTCTTCTTCCTCTACCTATTGGCTTCGTCTCACTCTCTCGAGTTCACAAAATCAAAACCCAAACACAAAATCGATGGACCCATCAAAACCCTAGTCGTCGTGGTCATGGAGAACCGGTCCTTCGATCACATGCTCGGATGGTTGAAGAAAACCCGACCCGACATCGACGGTTTAACTGGAAAGGAATCGAACCGGTTCAACGCTTCCGACCCAAACTCCCCTGAAGTCTTCGTCTCCGACAACGCTATCTTCATCGACTCCGATCCGGGGCATTCGATTCAGGCGATCCGGGAGCAGATATTCGGGTCAAATGTAACGACCGCTAACCCGGCTCCGATGAACGGGTTCGTCCAGCAAGCGTACAGTATGGGGGTCAGTATGCCCGAAACCGTGATGAGCGGGTTCAAACCGGAGGTTTTGCCGATATACACTGAGTTGGTGAACGAGTTCGCCGTGTTCGACCGGTGGTTCGCGTCCGTTCCCGCTTCGACTCAGCCGAACCGGTTCTACGTCCACTCTGCAACATCACACGGAGCTTCCAGCAACGTGAGGAAGGACCTCATCCATGGCTTCCCCCAAAAAACCATCTTCGATTCTTTGGACGAAAATGACCTCACTTTTGGGATTTATTACCAAAACATCCCTGCAACACTGTTCTTCAAGAGCATGAGGAAGCTTAAGCACATCACAAAGTTTCATGAGTACAAATTGAAGTTCAAACTACATGCTAAGAAGGGTAAGCTTCCGAATTACGTGGTGGTGGAGCAGCGTTACTTCGATGTGGAGCTCTTTCCGGCCAATGATGATCACCCTTCTCATGACGTAGCGATCGGACAGAAGTTCGTGAAGGAGGTGTACGAGATCCTGAGGGCTAGCCCGCAGTGGAATGAGATGGCTGTGTTGTTTACTTATGATGAGCATGGTGGGTTCTATGATCACGTGCCTACCCCTGTCTCTGGTGTGCCTAACCCGGATGGGATCATTGGACCCGACCCCTGGTACTTCAGGTTTGATCGGTTGGGGGTTCGAGTCCCGACGCTGTTGATATCGCCGTGGATCGATAAGGGTGTAGGTAAGTCTTTCTGTTTACTAGTTTGTTTAGTTCATGTTGCAATGTTATTGTTTCAATTATGTTTATCTCTGTGAATATTGGGTAGTTTCAATCTAGGAAGGAAATCCTAGTGAATCAATTTAAAGATTGTAATTGCTTGTTATAGGTGGAATTTGCTGGCTACTTTCATTTATTTATGCTTAGTTTAGTTGTCAAGTAAGGAAATTTTGTTGAATTGAGTAATGATTATAGTGAGTTGTGGTTTTGATGGTCTATTTAGGCTTGTTCCACGTAGTGTTTTTAAAATGTGGATGATGGAGTGGTGGCAATACAAATAAACAGAAGTAAGAAGTGAACATTTTCATGGAATGAAATTAGAGTTTGTTGTAATTGATACGAGAAAATTTGTGTTTGGTGGTGCTATGAGGACAAGAGTGGCTTAAGGAGAGGTGGGGTTATAGTGGCAAGGAAAGAAGTCATGGCTGAAGATGAGAGGGATAACAGAACTTAAGACGGAGCTGATGCTAAAAGTGAACTTGTGCAGAGTATAGACTAGAGGTCAATCAAGTCTTTCTTCTCTTGAGTTAACAAGTAGGTTTTTTGTGGTGCCTGCAGATTTTGTTGAATTTCCCTACTATTGTTGCGATTACAATATTTTCCTAGTTGTCTAGAGCTTGTTCTTGTTACTTTGTTGCACTTTTTTTTTTTTTTGTTGGGCATATAGAGGAGAAATTCATTTTCTACTTGTTTTTTTCCCCTATGATGTTTACTCGTATGGTTAACATCCTTATCTTTATTCTGATCAGGGTGTGCTTCATATGTTGGTGTTGTAACAAATACTATTTTAATTCTGAAGTGGTTGTCAAAGTAGATATCAAAGGGGTCAGGGAGATGCTTCGTTATCAATTTTTTTTTTTGGGCGTTAGAAGTGCTTAATAGAAGTGTCCTAAAATTGAATAAAGCTAGAGAGATGCATGATGCGCTCAAATTGTAAATGAGTAACTTTTTATCAAGAATATACCTTTGCCATTGGAACCCACCATCTCTTCTCTTATCTCCTGTCCTAAGTGCCAAAAGAATCCCATGCCACTAACTCAAGTCAAGGGAGGATTGTCCTGCATCATTATTTCAGCCATTAGCTTACTCGTAACTAGCAAAAGTTGGAATTTATTGTTGAAAAAACAATCGAGAATGGTTATGTGAATGATAAATTCAAGTTTGCTATCTATGAAGTAGCAAAGATAAGTTTCCTTTTGTGAACTTCCAGACTGGTTCTTGTATTTTTTTTTTTTTCATTCCAGAACTGGCTCTTGTCATTCCTTTATTTGTTGGGGGCAGGGCGGGGGCATCGGAGGGTAGGGGGCAGCACGTTTGACATTGGGGAACTAGCATTGGAGTCAGAATGAGATTTTCCTGCCAACGTTTATTACTTATTTAGGTTCGGCATGTTATATAAACCTTTTATTTTTACGTCAGATTCAAATAAAATACGGTGATATCCTTGTCCAATGTTATTGACTGACCATTTTTTTTTTTGCTTAAAATCCATTGTCATCTCAGGAGTCCTGACAAATTGGCATATTGCCCCTTCCTTATCTAGTTTGAAATCCTTTCTTGTCACTCGTCTTAGTATATTGGAGAAGGAGATTCTTAAACAAGTCATCTAAATGTCTATATGAATGTTCTCAGGTTGCAATTATGATTGGAGTATTACAGTTTTCAGACATTTCTTTTATATTTCTAAAAATTTATTTTACTTTGGGAGTAATCTGTCTTTAAGATTAACTATTTGATTATTTGGTGCAGTAATTCATGAGCCAAATGGGCCAACACCAGATTCACAGTTTGAACATTCTTCTATCCCTGCTACTATTAAGAAGCTTTTCAATTTGAAGTCTAATTTCCTGACCAAAAGGGATGCATGGGCTGGAACGTTTGAGAATTACTTCAAACTTCGTGATACTCCACGTGATGATTGTCCAGGTTTGCATCATTGCATTTGTTAATTACTACCGGCTTTTCTATGCTCTTTGATTGATGAAGCTTGATAAATTTGCCATATATAGTTGATTAGTGAAATCGTAACTATGAAGCCTTTGTACATTGCCTAGTGTGACCTTACTGCTGCCCATTGTTGGTGCCTTTTCTTTGATAGGGCAGTATATTTATGATATGATGCTAATTGTCACTCATGATCTGTAAGAATAGAAGCCTATTAGAAAGGTTCTTGGGGAATTAGAAATAGTGATAATCTAATATGAAGAGATGATATTACTTTATTGTGAACTTAAAATGTCATATACAAAAGGAACAATGTGTAATAGAAATGAATAAAGAGAGGTAATCCTAATTAAAGTTTAATTATGGACTTAAGTTAAATAAAGGACTTGTTGCAATTAAAAGTTAGTTGTGATAAAACTTAATTCTTTTGTAAGACAAAAAAAAAATACCAATTTTTGTGAGTCAAGGTAAATAGGAGAGCTCCCACAAGTGCTAACATTTACTCATTGCCTTCTCCCCCTGAATCTTTATGCTAGTGAGTGTGTCAGTGTTTGTGTTCATGAATTGCTCCGTGTGCATTCTTTTAGAGGTTGAAGCCAAACAATTGAGACTTTGAAATTGGAGTCGGTGAACTAAAAGGATCAAACACGAAATTGGATTTTGCATTTAGGATCATCTTCTATCTACAATTGATGTTTGCTTGTTATATATGTTTTTTATACATTATAAACATGATCATGAGAATTGTAAATCAAAACAAAATTTAAATTCTGCTGTGCTTGGGTATAGGATTCTCGGCCGTTTATTGGACATGGTTTTGAAAGTTGAGCATTCATAGTACCTGAGTTTTTCCGAACATGTAGATTGAAATATGATTACCTAGAGGCCCCCCTTTTGTTAATACAGTTGAGTGTTGAGGATCTCTTCAAATTGATTTTCCTCATATAAAGTCCTAAGTTGGGCTCAGCTGATGATATATAGGGTTGGATGGATATAATCTGCCACATCTTAGCTCTCAAGAACCCTAGAATCGAACATGACACTCGCGTGAGTCTGTCTCTTATTATAGTTTTGATTTAAGTAGCTATATACTCGCATTGAATTTAATCATCTTGAGCGGTGAAATTTGTTGGCTATACAGTAAAGCTCCCAGAAGTTAGGAGGTCACTCAGGTCACGCGGACCAAAGGAAGATGAGAAACTCTCTGAGTTCCAAGTCGAGTTGATCCAGCTTGCATCCCAGCTGGTCGGTGATCATGTTCTCAATACCTACCCATATATGGGAAAATCCATGACTGTGGGTGAAGCAAACCGTTATGCGGAGACAGCAGTTGCAAGGTTCTTGGAAGCTGGAAAGACAGCTTTGAGAGCTGGAGCAAATGAATCTGCTCTTGTCAGAATGAGACCGTCCCTCACTAGCCGAACTTCAGGGGGTTATAGCAGCTATTGATCAATCCCCCTCTACATTAGCGAGTTGTGTATAGTATATTCATATTGAACTTTCCATACTGGTGTACGTAAATTTTAGTAGTATTCAAACTTCTTAGTACCAAAGCAAGACCTGTTGGCCCGATCGGCCAATTTGAAGTCTTAATAGTAAACATATAAACCACTCTGTTGTGTATGACACTAGTGAACTTTCTGTATGGAGCTTAGGTCCTTTCAGGTGTTTTATAAAATAATTGCAAACTCCAATGGTTGAATAGTAAACATTATTTCGCCACGAGGTTGGTCAGTCTTAAATTTATTTGACCATGTGCTTGTTTTTTTTTTTTTTTGATTTGACCATGTGCTTGTTAAGTGGCTTCTATTATGATATTTTTAGCATTTTTATTACTGCATGTTACATTTAATGCCAAATACTCTTGCCTCATTATACCAATGTCAATTTTGGAATAGGAAAAAAGCTTTCTGATCCTATAAAGTGAATGACTAGGGTGATCTGGTGGAGCCGAATGGTGAGGGCATGACACCTGTCCCACTAATAAAATCAATGGCTGAATTACTAAAACCGCGTCATTTTGGTGGGTTAAATCTACCCCAAAGGGGGGGAAAATGTATAAAACTTTTTTTTTTTTTTTGAAACACAATGTATAAATCTATTGTGGGGTGTTTTGAGAAGTTAATTAAAAGTTAATTTTTATTATTTTTTTTGGCTTTTTTGTGTAAAAAAATTGGTTTTTTTGTGGTTTTTTCTATGTAAAAAATGTTAAAAAGTCAAAAAGTTTACTTTTTTAACTTGTTTCCAAAACACCTCTGTGAGTACATATTTGATTATCTTTTAAGATTTTTACAAGCTAGTCCTATTTTCAAGCGTTAGTACCCAATAGGTCCTTAATGGACATTCTTGTACCTATAGGTCTTGAATATTTTTGTTTATTTCATTTTTACGCTCAGATTTTTATACTCAAATTTGAACATTTTTGGTCCTTCAAGGGTGATTACTCTCTCTCTCTCTCTCTTTCTATCTGTGTGTGTGCATATTTCTCTACCAATAGCCATCGGCATCTCCATCATTGTCGACCACCGCCGTCTCCATTGTCATATTTGTCGGCGACCCCAACCGACATCTTCTTCCACTTTCACTATTGCTTCCACCTTCGCTGACGTCTCCATCTTCACTACCGTTGCCGACCATTGCCGTTTCCACCTCCATAGTCTTCGTCGCGTCCACCTCTCGATCTTGGATCTAGGCTCTTTGTCGTCGGGTCTTTTCTCTCTCTCTCTCTCTCTCTCTCTCTCTCTCTCTGTATATTGGGAAAGATCCCAGTGATAAATCTATTGAAACCAATGATAAGTTTGCTTAAACTAGTGACAAATTTGTTAAACCAGTGATAGTGATAAATTTGTTTAAACTAGTGATAAATTATTGATGAATTTTTTTAAACCATTGACAAATCAGTGATAAATTTATTTAAACCAGTGATAAATATGCAGTGTTGAGTTTAGGGGTAAAAATGAAAAATACCGTTTGATTTTTTTTACTAGGACCTGTTAGGTAAAAAGACTGGTCCATAGAACTAGTCCGTAACTCTCTCTTATCTTTTTTGGGTACTTGTCTTTTCTCTATTGAGTTGATTGATCAAATTTAGGCGTCCAATTTGGGCCAGCTTAACTTGGCAAACTTGAGTCTAGTTTGAAATTTTTTTAAGATTTGGAAGAAATATTTTTAAATTTGGTATGAATTTAGATAAAAATTTAAAAATTTGAATTAAATTTAGACAGACTTGAGTAAAGATATCAAACAATCTAAGCTTTCGTTTGAGATGTGGGTTGATTTTTTGGCTTTTTAATTTTGTTGACTTTTTGACTTGGGATTAAAATATCTCGTTTGGAATGGTCTTTTTGATTTTTTTAATTTTTGTGAGAAAAAAATTGAAACGATTATAGTTTGGATGTGACATTTTGTCTTATTGAGTTAAAAAACTTATTTTGTCTTTTTATGACTAAAATTGCCCTACCCAACCACACCCAATCCAAACTTTCATGCCAAACGAACCCTGAGCAACTTGAGATCTGAATTTTATATATATATATATATATATATATATTATTATCTATTACATGATATTAAAATAATTTAAATTATTAAATCATATTGAATATATATTATATATACAAATAACACTTTTTTTTTATTCACACTCATAAATGGTAAAGACTACTATAATTATTTCTTTCTTACATTATATAAATTATTTATTTTGATGTTATTAATGATTTTCTTAAAAAAAATATAGTAGAGTCAAATTTTAATAATTTAATAATATAACTACAAAAAAATAAATAAATAAAATTCATTTACAATTCAGATAATTCGGACAATTCAAATTTATCAGGTCGGATTGAGCAAGTAATCTCAGATTATAATTCGGATCTTGACAAGTACCAGTACAACTTAGATTTGGACAATCTGAACTCGGTCGAGTTGCACCTCTAACCAAATCCTGATTATGGAAAATCATAAAACATGAAACCCAATTTATTTTCTGCATTTTCTTAGCAACAAAACAGAGGGACAACCCAGTGAAGATCGAAACCAACGAAACAAGGAAATGTACGTAGATTTAGAGAGAGAGAGAGAGCATTACTCTAAACCCATCATCGTCCTCCGTCCTCTGCCTCACTCATATCCCTTCCATCTTCCCTCTATCTCCCTTCTCCTCCATTTTTCCACCCTATGCAAGCCCTTACCCCCCGATGCCCCCATCCTTTTTGTAATCCCCGCCACCGGCCTCTACAAACCCATAATCGCCGCTTCCAAGATCCACCGGATGACATCACAATCTGGGTTTTAAAACCCTAGATCTGGAATATGTTTCTCTCTCTCCCTCTCTCTCTCTCTCTATATATATATATATATATATATCTGTATCTGTGTATGAGAGGGTTCAAGAACGTCGTTGGAGAATTCTAAGATCTTCGAAAATCTTTGAAGAATACTCGAGTTCTCTAGAAGATGATGAGAGGCTTAAATTCTTCAATAGGCACAACTAAGAACACAAAACCAAAGAGACGATGGAGATAAGAGATTGGGTGAAAAAGAAGGCAAAGTAATTAGAGAGAGAATAATGGCAAGGCTCTCCCATGGATCTCCCACTTTCACCCTCAAGGTTGATAATGGAGAAGGGAAATTAGTTCTTTCCCAAGAGTTATCTCTCCAAAATTCATCCCTTGTAAAGCTATGGGTGGGTGCTATTTATAGGCACCTCATGATGTAGGATGAAGCCCATATGCAAAGCACATGGGAAATATTCTCTCTAACCACCTTGTCCGAGGAGGTGACCTCTTCGAGGATGAGGAAAATCCCGAAGAGGAGATCAACCTCTCGGCGAACCCTTCTTCTTAGCCACACCTAACCAATGATCCCCAATCATCCCAAGGGGTTAGGGGTAATCCCAAAGGACGCCCTGCCGCAGAAGGGTCAGGGGTAGTTCAAGAGAACGCCCTGTCGCAAATATTGCCGAGTCTCAGGGACCCCCTAGATCGTGCCACCTCGACCCGGGTATAGGCTAGTTTAACTAAAAAGTAAATTTATCTCCACTCACCGTCCTCGGGGTCGGGTCCTTTGTTCAGACTCCATTACACCCATGGTTCTGGTACGTAGATCCCGAAAAGCTCCGAGTCCGCAAGTGTTCTGGGACTCATTAATGGAGCGACTTCTAGATTGCATCTGAATCTGTTCGAAGTCAAGTGCTTTGGATTTCTAGGTTCGTGGATCCGAACCCTTTCGAGTCCGAGCCCAAGTAAGTTTCTAAGTTCGTGGATCTGAACCCTTTCGAGGCTTAGAGCGATTTGGCCCGGTTGATGGCGATAAATCCGGGCCTACCAATCTTGGACTTGCGATAAATTTGGGCCCACCAACCTTGGACTATTGGGTCTAATTAATTTAGTGGGCTCAAATTAACTTCTTTTACAATCTGTATCTGTCACCGCCCACCAAAAGAAGAAGATGAGGCGGAGGAGAGAATAAAAAGAGGAGCTGGTGGAGATAGTATTGGCGAGGAGGGGTATCGACATTTCTCTCTCATTCTCTGTTTCTCTCTTTCTCTCGTTCTTTATTTTTTTCCACCAAAACGACGTTGTTTGGTGATGGGTAATCTCAACCTTGACTCCATTAGTGGGACAGGTGTTGCGTTCTCACCAATCCACTCCACCATTTCACTCTAGAGGATCCGAACGCAGGAAAAAATGAAAATACTTAAGACCACTAATTAGTGGTGGCTCTAATGATGTGGACCCACTGCCACAGTGTGTTTGTGCCTTGTTTTTTTTTTTTTTTTCAATTGCCACCTCACTAGTGGTGGGATTAGTGATGACAAATTAGTGGTCTGTAGCATTGCTCAGGAAAAAAAGAGCATAGGGTAATATTCTGGAGCGGGTCATGATTGAGACCCCCTCCAATCACCATCTCCACCACCCCACACACACGTGGCGGATGGTGATTGGAGGAGAAGGAAAAAAAAAAAAAAAAAAAAAAAAAAAAGTGGCCAATCAAGTAAAGAGGGGGTCAAGAAGGTAGGGAAAAAATGGGGTCCGGGTCATTATTGTTCAATTAATTTCCCAAGAAAACAGTTGTTGGAGCTTCTAGGTGCACACCTACCATTTCTAAGTAGAGACTTTCTGTTATTTTTGGTTGTGTTTCCATTCCAAGAATAAGTTTGGTGAAAAAAGAAAAAAATTGAAAGCACTCAATTTTTTTTGTTTTTTTTTTTAGGGTTGCAAAAAATTAAGGTTGTGTTTGGTTGTATTTTTTAATATATTTCTACCCTTTTATTTGCGTTTGACGTTTGTTCACAATTTCAAAAGTTAATTCTACATTCAATTTTGAAAATACTGTTTAAAGCGGAAAAATTTAGACTAACCGATCGTCCTACCAATCTGCCGGTTGACCAGAATAGTAAATTTTTTTTTTTTTTTTGCATTTGATACATTTTAATTTTTATATATTCAATAAAAATTATTTTTTGAATTTTTTAAAAATTTTATGAGTTTTGAGTTGTGTGTTTGGTTATGAGTTGTAAGTTTTTGTATCAAATATCATATATCACATAAAAAATTCCTCACTCAATTCAAAACTCTTTTCAAAATTTATTTTAAAACTCATTCACCAAACAAATTTTTCACACTCAAATCATAATTCCAAAACTCACAAATTCAAAATACAACTCTTATTCTCAAATTATATTTAGAAAACTCTACCAAACACTTCCTAATTTTTTTTTGAGGGGGAGGGGGAATTA